TAATGGTAACTGTTAAGATTAGTTTATTTGTTAGTCACCACCACTAGCTTAAGAGCTTTAGCCTATATGATGTTAGCACTACATAAATTAGCCTAGCAGCTAACGGACTTTTACTCTCCTCATAGCTTAACAGATTACATGTATTATTCATAATACTCACCGCTGGTGAAGTCACTGCATCTCCCGACACAACACCACGGTTGAATTTTCACCCTGAATGGCGTTTTTGTTGAAACAGCAGCTGCCTCCCTCCCCTCTCTCTCTCCTTACATCTCTCTCTCTCTCTCTCACATCTCTCTCTCTCTCTCTCTCACCCCAACCGGTCGAGGCAGATGGCCGCCCACCCTGAGCCATGGTTCTGCTCGAGGTTTCTGCCTCTTAAAAGGAAGTTTTTCCTTGCCTCTGTCGCCTAGTGCTTGCTCTTGGTGGGAACTGTTGGGCTTCTGTAAATAACATCACAGAGTACGGTCTAGACCTGCTCTTTTATGAAAAGCGCTGTGAGATAACTGTTGTTGTGATTTGGCGCTATATAAATAAAATTGAATTGAAAATTGAAATTGAAAACAGCAGAGCAACAGGCAGCTCTGTGTGGGAGCATTTACCGTAAATACTCGAATAGGAGTGCACTCCAGATTTAGCTGCGCCTAACTGCTCTCAGAAACAGCTCACTTTCCTGCAGTTCTGTGTACGTATAAGTCGCTAATTGAAAACTCTGTAGGTCAGAGTGTCCACATGAAAAGAGAAGGAAGACATGGCTGGTAGTGTTTTCAAACAGTTGCTAAACACCTCAGCGCACTGAAGGAAGCCATCTGACTGTATGAAGAGCAGATCGTTGATGTCTGCAGGCAGAGTAGGCCTAGAGCTCTCCCGTCTGACTGGTCCACCAATGGGCAGAAGTTGACCCCTTGAGACACAGCCCCTCCTCATTTGCATAATGAGGCAGAAATGCATACAGAAATGTAAAAAGGACAGGCAGAAATAAATACCATGGGTGAAAATAAGGTTAAAAAAATACAAAAATATTAAACACAAATAAATACATTTAAAAAATAAGTAATTAATAAATAAAGTTGAAGATTATAACGGAGAATAAATAAATAAGGCAATTATTACAAAGGTGAATAAGTAAAGGAACTAATTAAAATATATATATTATATAATATATATGTAACAACACAATGAAGAATGATTAGACCGATTTTGCAGAATGAAAAACACAGTGGGTAACTAATGATAGTTAATTTGGTGTTGAGAATCTCCCCAAAGATCAAAAGGTTTGGTCCAGTGCTGTTTCACCTGAATTGGCTGTGCAGGGTCACTCCTTCCAGGTTCACCCTTCGGATGGTGTTGCAAGGGATGATAGGGTTGTTGTCTGAGACAACGCTGAAAGGGTCCTTGGTGATAAATTTGAAACCAGTGTTGTCACAGATGATCCTGGATAAGGTGGCAGCGAACAGAGCAGCTCTCTGACTTGGGGTGAAGACACCCGGTTTCTCATACCACAGCCTGATCATTTCAAACAAGAGGAGCTGTAAAAGTGATCAGTATCAACAGGTACTGTATTTGAAATGCATTTATTTTTGAGATTGTGTGATCCGTCTGCAGCTGGCATTTGATATAAATGAATAAGATAATTGACTATGTCAGGCAAAAATATTTTTAATAAATTTGTGTTACTTGCACTGAACTTTTAGCTATAATTTAAGATTTGTCAGGAGGGGAAGGCAGCAACCAGCTCGAGCTGAATGCAGTAAACAAATGCTAGAAAGACAGTATCAAAACCTCTGTCTACTGCAGGCCACAACCCAGGTAATTAGGGCCCGAACAACGACTGCTGTGAGGTCCCTATTGTGTTTGTCCCCGTTGGACGCATTTTGGCTCGATAGCCCCCCCTAACAATGTCTCAATAGCGCCCCCTAACAATTTTCAAAACCAAAGCCCCCTCCATTTTCTTTGGCCTACATTCACCAAACGTGGTAGGTATATGTATCATCTCCAGACTTAAAAATAAGCCTCTTGGACCAATAACCTAAACCCAACGATTTTCCATTTACACCCTCTGTATTTTAATGAAGTTGTCCTAGGTATATGATAAGATCGACTTCAAATGTGGGCTGTGCTATCCCAAGGTCCTTGCAATGTTAAACTGCGAAGCTTTTTTTGATTGATCAAACAGCGTGTCCATGGCGTGGCGTGCAATTTTGATGGTTTGCCATGAAAAAGGAAAAATTGTGTAAATGGGCTAGACATTGTCAGATATGCCCCAAACGTCACATGTTTGATAAGAGTCCCGCCCTGAAGTCATCTAAATGCAAATATCCAGTGGTAGTGAAAGTGCCACCTACTGGCAACAGGAAGTAACATATTGTATTTGTTGCGGTACTCCTCTAAAGCAGGATAATCCGATTTGGCACAAAACTTTCTCCAAAAAAGCCATAAGACGTAAATGATATAAGGTCGTCAATGTTGTGACTTAATAAAATAATGCGTTGCCATGGCATGAAAGAGGAAGCTGTGAGAGGCTAGGAAGCTTGAAATCTCACACTTTCCACACACAGAATGGGTGTGTTTTAATGTCTAATACTGCTCAAGGGCATGTGTGTGGAAAAACCGCTCTATAGCGCCCCCTGCAAGATTTCAAAGGAGCAACCCCAGCTGCCTGTTACACCTAGAGTTACCAAATTTTGTAGGCACGTGTATAATGTCGGGACTAAAAGAAAAGTCTCCTGGAGCGATATGCCAAACCCAACAGGAAGTTGGCCATATTGATTCAAATTTCTTATTTTACCTTGTTTATAGGCTCCATACTTTGAACTCTTCCTAGAGCTTTAACTCGATTGACTTCAAATGTGGGCAGCGTGACCTTAACGGCCTTGCTATGATTTTGATGATTAACCATAAAAGGGAAGTAGCATGTAAATAGACTACACATGTTCAGATCTGTTCCAAATTTCACATCTCAACACCTTAGAGTCTCACCTGTCAATATTCAGTCATAGTGACAGTGCCACCTTAGGACCTAAGCACCTTAGGGACAAAAATCTCCACAGTGAGGAATAGCATAGCAGGTTGACCACATCCATCTCAAAGTTCTACAGTAAAGCCATAATGCTTTAAGGATGTTACATTGTGAAACTTCTGAGTTCTTATCAAATGCTGTCGCCTTGGTGAGTAATTACTCGCCATGAAACATGAAGCTGTTTTTTTAAGAGCTGTACCTTTAAACCCACAGAAAGTCAGCCACAGTGGATTGAAGTTTTAACTGACACATCAACCACACATTGTCAGATATATGACAGAACGCACAACGGACACATAGATGCAGCCCACCCCCAATTGAAGTCTTACCACGCGACAGCTATGTGGGTGCGGCACACAACAATGAGCAGGTGGTGTTTGGGCACGCTCATCGCTGCTTGCAACTTTAATATTTATATTGTTTCTAACAATTTGCAGTAGGTTGCAGAGGAGAATAAATATTTTGCTGTTATGCAGACAGAAAGTACCATTTTAAAGCAGTTATAAAAAGCAAGGTTTCAGAGTGTGTTGCAGACTGACACAGTTGTAGCTGCTTGCAGACATTTAGATATTTAGCTGAAGTAGTGCAGGATGTTATGTGTAACAATCACCACAGTAAAGTGATACAACAAAGACTAATTTGGAAACAATGTAAATTCACTGTTTGCTGGTGTCCTGGTTGGGTAAATTAAGAATCAACAACTAGTTCAAGTCTCCATGTGTGTCTAAATCTGAATTTAAAAGTGCATTCAACTATAGTATAAAAAGTATGTGCATCACGTATTTATTCAAAACAAAACATGTTTTTAATGTATGTCTTAAGTATTTAAATTGTGCAATTTAAATCTATGATGTGTAGAATTTTACACTGCCCCCCAATTCCCCTGCAGCCCATAAATTCAACATCTCAGATGACATTTTCTACAAACAAAATCAAATATGTCTTCAGAATCTCACACCTACTTACAATTCATAGGCCTACACATTGTGTCCACAACCGTACTGACCTGTCACCCAGGCGGATCCTCTGGAACTGTCCAGCGATGATGCAGGCCCCACACGGCCGCCAGGGACTAACGGCTCTGCCACACCTCCCAGCCAGATGTCGATGTTGTCAGGCGTACCATAATAGTGCAGCAGATTGCTAGCAGTTTAGTGTTATTCAGGACTTGAGCGAGCTCTGCCTGGTGCTGGGCTGAGACAGGCCACAGAACCTATGCCAGGCCTTGTAGCCTAAAGGAGCAACAAGCAGCAAAGTGAGGTCAATCAATCAAGAAAGGGATGAAACACTGGAAGAAAAAAATGCTGAAAATCACAGTGAGGGATGTACCAGGCAGGCCGTGGTCACTTGACCTCTGCATGTTGAGAGAGCCAGGTTCTGCCAGATTTTGCACAAACTGGAACAACCTATCCATTAGGCAGTCACCAACCTGTGATGGTGATCGTTTAGTTTAGCAGGATGGTGGATCAA